TACACATGTGTATATATTTATATGCGTGTCTATATCTATACACATGTGTATATATTTATATGTTCTTCATTTTTTTTTTCAACATGTGGAACATACGTTTATATATATGTCTTTTTTTTATACACATGTGTATATATTTATATGCGTGTTATATCATATACATGTGTATATATGTTATGTCTATATCTATACACATGTATATATTATATGTGTGTCTATTTTCACATGTGTATATATTTATATGCGTGTCTATATCTATACACATGTGTATATATTTATATGCGTGTCTATATCTATACACATGTGTATATATTTATATGCGTGTCTATATCTATACACATGTGTATATATATGGTATCATATATTTTCATATACATATATATGTATTTTTATATATATATATATATACACACTAGCTTATTGTATATATATATTATTATCTATATATATATCTATATTTGTATGTATATATATTTATATGTATATTTGAATAATTGTGTGTATATATATATATATATATATATATATATGTGAATTGTATATATATATGTATCTGTATATATATATATATATATTGACAACTTTTATGTGTGCATATATATATATTATATGTTTTGTGTATATATGTATATTGTGTGTATAATTATATGTGTATATAATGCTGTATATATGTATATGTGTGTGTATATATATGTATATGTGTTATATATATATAAATGTGTATATATATAATATGAAAAATTATATATGTTGTGTATATATATGTGTTTGTGCATATATATATATATATATATATATATGTGTGTATATGTGTGCATATATATCTTTATATATATATATGTTTATTTCTCTTGTATTTTGTATATGTTGTGTATATATATATTTATATATATGTGTTTTATATAGTATATGTGTGTATATATATATATATATATATATATATATATATATTGCATATATATATATATATATATAGGGGAAATAAATATTCGTACACTTGAAAAATTGTATTTTTATAAATGTAAAACCTTAAATAAAAACAAATCTCGTCACATTTTTGTGTATAAAGACACATTTTATTAAAAAATAATAATAAACTTAATTAATTTTATTCTAACAGAAATTAATGCATTTTTAAAATTTTAACTGGTGAAAAAGTATTCGTACAAATGAATTATTAGAATAAAATAATCAATTAATTATGAAAAAGTATATTCTAGAATGTTCAGTAATGTTATCAGTAATTATAGTTAAATAGCCATTATCAGAGCATTCTGCAATTTCTAGTCTCATTGAGAGAAGGTTTTAATAATGCATAAAGTTAAAGAATTGACTATCAAAAAAAAAACAACACATTTTGTCTCTTTTGGAAAGATGGGAACAGTTACAGAACGATTTCTAACAACCTGAATATTCCTTTTACTACAATTGCTTCGTTCATTGCAAAGGTTTAAAACTCGTAACAGCGTCGAAAACCAAAGACGAACAGGTTGGAAAGAGGAAGATTTCTCTAAGATCAGCAAGGATATTAGGACGCTAGATCCAACAAAATCCACAGGTTACCCGAGAAGATATTAGGAACATCTGCGTGCATTAGGGATTAAAGTAACCAATTACAATAAGTAATGAACTACACAAAACAGTCTGAAATCACGCAGGAAAGGAAGACTCCACTCCTCTTGAAACGACACAGAGATGCTAGGCTAAAATTCGTTAGATAGCATAAGGATAAAGAATATTCGTTTTGGGAAAAAGTACTATGGACAGATGAAACGAAAATAGAGTTGTTTGGTCATAATTATCGAAATCATGTGTGGAGAAGGACGGTGAAGCCCTACTTACCAAAGAACACGTTGCCAACTGTAAAGTTTGGTGGTGGCAGTATCATGATCTGGGGCTGTTTTTCTGCAAAAGGTGTTGGCAGAATATCAATAATAGATGGCAAGATGAATGCCGAAAGATACCAGAAAATCCTGCAAGACAATTTAATGCGTTCTATTGAGAGACTTCGGCTACCTCCTGATTGGGTTTTCCAACTGGATAATGATCCTAAGCATACCGCTAGATCTACAGGGAAATGGTTAGCTGAAAGTAACATTGATGTCTTGCAATGGTCAAGTCAGTCCCCAGACTTGAACCCAATCGAGAATTTATGGCGATATTTGAAAATTCAAATTGGGAAAAGAGCACCAACATATATCAAGAATTTGAAGACAATATGCCAAGAAGAATGGGACAAAATACAACTCAATGTGTGCAAATCATTAGTTGAGGCGTACAGGAATAGACTGGTAGCTGTTGAACGCAATAAAGGATATTCCACAAAGTATTAAATTAAGTTAATATGCTTTTTTTGTTTTGTACGAATACTTTTTCATCAGTTAAAATGAAAAAAAAATGCATTAATTTCTGTTAGAATAAGAATTAATTAAGTTTATTACTATTTTTTAATAAATGTATCTTTTATACATAAAATGTGTCAAAATTTGTTTTATTTAAGGCTTTTACATTTATAAAAATACTCTTTTCAAAATGTATGAATATTTATTTTCCCCCGTATATATATATATATATATATATATATATATATATATATATATTATGTTTTATTTATTTTTATGGATTGCTTATTTTATAATTACTTTGTTTTAAGTAAATAGTATTAATTATTTTATTGGCCTGAATTTTTTAGCCAATAGAAAATATATTTTGAGACAAGAATCGAATATTTATCCCATAAGGAAACGTATATAGACTGAAGTTGCTAACCATTCATTTTAAAGAGAACTTTATTCATTAGGCAATTATAAAGTATTATATATAAATATAAAAATAATGATATAAACAGAAATAATATTATGATATTTTTAATTCATTTATAAAATGTTTTTTTGTATATTTTAACTTTATCATTTATATCTATAATATATATTAAACAAACTATCTATATATATATAGTTTTCCTATCTTTTATATAATATATATATATATTTATATAAAAATAAATTTGCAAAAAAAAAGAGACCACAGTTCATTGAATAGTTTTAATTTTTTTTTATAAAAAATTTTTTCGGTTGAAACTAATATGCTTGTAATAGGGCGGTTAAAATCGTGGACAGTATAATGGCAGTTTTCCTTTGCCATGGAAGTTTTAAAGTAACGTACATATTTCAAGGTAGGAATATGACAATATAGACAATACAATATATACAACAATGTAAAGATTAAATAAACTGGGTTTGTGTTCAATCCTCGAAATCTGAAGAAGAATTGAGAATGCCTATTGGGTTGTCAAGTTGAATATGTGACTGTGAGAACATGAACAACAATACGAACAATGTAAGGAATATTCTGCATTTTATTTTCATTAATTGTTAGTATTTTGTTTACAAGGGATTCCCTTGCATCTTATTGGCTTTATGTTCATTATCACTTGCGAATATTATAAAAAGTTTTATTAAAATTTGTTAATTTTCACTAACGCTTTTAATTTTTTAACCTGATTTTGAAAGTTTCGAGGGTGCTCCCATGCATTAAAAAAATTTCAATGATTTTTTAAATTTTTTATTTTTATTTTTTTTTTTTTTTTTTAACAAAAAAGAAGCAACTTTTTAAATTTAGAAATAACCTGTTGATTCTGATAATTTATACAAATAATATATCTATACCTGACTTTTCCCATTCTTTAGGCTTTCGATTAAAAAAAATAAAGTTATAAAAATTTACAAAAATAAACTTTTTATTAGATTTTTCGTAGCTCAAATTTGAAATTTTCAAATAGGAGAAACGTGAAAGCATTTTCCTGTCCAGACTTTATTAATACTAGAAGAAGAAAAAATTATCGTTTTGCAATCGAACAATAACAATTCTTAATTCGAAATAGATTTCTGTTTAAAAGAGAGTAACTCTGATAAAAAACAGTTTAAAAGAAAACCTTCTCCCAGGTCCAATGGCTATTCACATCAAATTTGAGGGCCTTCACATGAAAGGGTTTCATAAAAGCCTCTTCAAAACAAAAAAAAGAAAACTTATATATATTATAAAGGGGCGTTGAAACCAAACAGATGAAAGCAAAATACATAACTTCTAGGTTCTTTCGCCATGATAAAAACAATGTTCCGGTCTCGATGTCGACTGGAGTCGATTAACAACAGCAGGAACACCGCTGAGTGTGAGCGGCTTGTGCCTGTTTCATCTCGGAATTTCGTTGCCAATTGAGTTGACATTCGGAACTTGACAGTCAACCATAAAAATAAATTTAGTGGCCTATTACGTCACTTGATTTCGGCTACATGACAAAGTACACGCTTTTTTTCTTTCTCTTTTTTCTCCTTCTTTTCTTTACTTTCTTTCTAATTTTTCTTTCTTTTTTGTTTCTTTTTCTTTCTTTTTTTTTATTTTTATTTTTTTTTTTATTCCTTTTTATTTTTTTTTTTCTCTCTTTTTTTTTAAACAATTTAATTGAATTATTCTTTTCTTTTTTTCTTTTTTTCTTTTTTTTCATTTTCATTGTTTTTTTAGAATTTTTTTTTTTTTTTTTTTACCAGAAAAAGATTTTTTTTTTTTTTTTTTTTTTTTTTTGCTTTTCTTTTTTTTTTTTTCGACTGGACAAATCCAGTATTTTCATAAAATTTCTTTCCCTCTTTTTTCCTTCCTTTAATTTTCTTTTTCTTTTTTTTCTTTCTTTTCTTTTTTTTTCGTTCGTTCGAAAATTTGTTCGTTCTTTGTTTCTGGAATAGTTCTTTCGTTCTTTATCTTCGCCCTTCTTTCTTTCTTTCGTTCTTTATCTTCGCCCTTCTTTCGTTCTTTCTTTCTTCAAAGCCCTTCAAAATATTTTTTTTCTCGTTCCCTCCTCCCCCCTCATCTCTATATTTAGGAAAATAATTTGTTTTATTCAAAAAAAACCTTCCTTTAAAAGTTTACTTATTTTCTTAGTCTAATTTCCCCTCCCTGTAATATCCACCCCGTCTTTAAATCAACATTCCTTCCCCTTTTTCACAAACCACCCACTGTCTCTTCTGCGCCTCCCCTCACCTCCCCCTTAGACAAATAATTCTGTTAGTCACGTGCTTGTGATAATAAATACAAACGAAAGGACACTCGATAAACAAAAAGTCATTCAATTTACATATATACCCACCCATCCAATATATACGTACAAAACAATATATCCTGTCCAATCCCCGCTTTTCGACCAAACTTTTCAGGAATGCAGATTTTTTTTTTCTGTCCGACACTGGCAGGTGCACGTCGAACAGCGACCTACGATATATAGGAATGTATGGAGAGCTTGTTAGATTGGATTTTCAAAATCAATGTGAACAAACGCTTGACACAGTAACGGAAGAATTGGCCGAAACCTGCGCTTCGAATCAACAATATATACACGGCATTTTGAGTTAGTGTCGCATTTTCCGTCCTCTATTAGAACACTGAGATCCGAAGACGTATTGTGGTGATCAAAGATGTCTTCCAAAAGCTAAGCAGAGTATTAAGAGACAGAAAAAAACTTCGTTAGAAACAAAGAAAAGTAATCGTTATTTACATTTAGACTACTGTCGTCATCTTTGTTTGCATTATCACGTTTCATCGATTGTTCATCCGGCCTTCTTCAGGCGTCTGTCGATACAGATAACCTCCAGGGAATCTCGAATTGGTTATACGGTTTCATTTTGATTTAGTGGGAAAATTTTTTGTGATTGTCAGTCAAGTGAATACATGGTAGAATATTAAAAAATCTGTCGCTTTCGATTCAGGACTGAATAGACAGAAGATTTTCCCGCAGTAGGTTGCCTTTTTTAAAATTTGCATATTTATTAAAAACTTTAAGTCTATAGGACCCATTCTGTAGATGTTATGCAAATCATATTAAAGGGAAGAAGATATAAATTTGTAAAGTGCCATACGTGATACACATTTTGGGCGATCATGTTCTCTTTCGATTCATGACTGACTAGGCAGAAGATTTTCCCACAGTAGGTTGCCATTTCTTTCTGTGGTAGACTTGTTGCCATCAAGGCTATAGGACCCATTCTGTCCTGTTATGCAAATGATAAGCCGAGGGATTCATAAGAGATAAAGCATCAGCACATAAGTGAATGTAATGGATTGATACACAATTCGAACGATCTTCCAATTCTTTCAATTCATGACTGATAGGCAGAAGATTTTTCCCTTTATAGGTACTTATTTCTTTCATATTTAGAATTGTAAAATCCATTGGCATATAGGACCCATTCTGTCCTGTTATTCAAAAATCATAGCCTTTCAAAAGAAGAGAAAAAGACCACATAAAATGCCATATTGTACACATGGGTATATAATCTTTCGATTCATGATTGAGGAATCAGAATATCCTGCAGTCATTTGCAAAATTACATTTCTTGTGGTCGACTTGTTGCCAATCGAGGCTATTGAACCTATTATTCAAACCATAATTTGATAAAAGATGTTAAACCGGGTTCCAAATTTTTTTTTTGGCTGGTAAACTGAATACAATGAACGCTACTTAATTCGAACTCTGCTTCATCAATTTATCATTCCGAATCGTTAAAGATTATTGCCCATTGTGTGTATCATTCATTCAACTCAATGATTGAAAGAAATCATTTGATCTTGCGTCTACTTGTTCGCGATTTTCTTATAGAAATGTGAAACAAAATTTGGTGAAATATCACTGAAAAAGAATATTATTAGCTAATTGACATATTTGAGAAGTATATTAAAATAACCAAGAACCTTTTTTGTAATTAAAACCACCTGCATAACAGAAAATGGCTCAAATATAAATAAAGAAACTGTTAAAGAGAAAGGTTGCATCTTTTCACCGGACATTTTTCCGCCTATCGTGATTGATCCTCATGATTTATGAAGAACTACCAATTTTCATTATTGACAGCCACAATCTTAACATCATAGGATATGCAGATTACACAGTGTTGATAGCGGACACAGAAAAGATAACGACAAAAAGCTCTTACAGAAAGTAGTGAAGGAAAGCGAGAAGAAAGGATTAAATATCAATTACAAGAAGACAGAATACATAGTTGTTAGCAAAATGGAGAGCTCAAAATAAAAATTACAAATTGGGGATAACAAAACCAAACAAGTACAACTGTTTAAATATTTAGGAAATGTTTTAACAAAGGACGGAAATAATTGACACTGAAAGGGGAACAAATTGGGAATCTGAAAGAAAATGAATTGAAAAGCTAAAAAATATAAAAGAGACAGAAAAACTGTCATTATTTGCCTGATTATTCGGACTATTGTTCTAAAAATCTTTATCGCCATATTCATTACACAATTTTAATAACATACTGTTGATATCTTCTTTCTTGGTTGGAATGTCCAACTGAACCCTTTATTTCGCTCACTGGAGTATTACTGTAATACAAAACATGTTTGGATGCCAGTTATCAGTTAGACAGAGAATATTCTGTCAAAAGTTCTCAACTGCCTTAACCATGATTGAACATCACATTCTTTTGGGTCCTCTCACCAAAGAATTTTTTTATCCATTTGATTGAGGTTTTCTAATATGTAATTTTTGGGTATTAAAACCTAATCTCTAAAAATAATTTTTTACCAGTAAAGATAATAAATATTCAAAATTTTTGTTTTTATTATTATCTTCTTAATGGCATTAAAATTTTATTTGGTCATGATCCAGTGAAGGATTAATGTTCTGTAATTTCAATTACCCGGTTACCTTAAGACATCAGAATTTTTGTGACAAATTAACGGAATAAAATGATAAGTGAACATCCATTAAACATCCTACATGGAACTAGAAAAGTCTATAGGGATCGAATTTTTTTTTCAACTAGGAATTCCAATGTATTGAATTTAACAAAAGAAGCAGTCAACATGAAACGTTTAGACCGACAGGAGACAAAGATTAAGCAAGACCAAATATTCAAATAATAAATCATCTCAAGAAACAGAGGCTTTTAGCAGCATGACCCAGCGTTGCCTGTGCTTGATTCAAAAATCGTACGAAAGGTGTACAGCAATCGCTAATCAAAATACTTAAAATATTTTTGCCCTTTTTTGCCTTTAAAAAAAGTGCCCTTTGAATTGCTGATGTAGGATTACATGCTCTTACTTGACTTGCCTATCTCACACTTGAATTTTTTCTAAGCTCTATACTAAACATTAAATCTGTTACGAAAAAAAGAACTAAACAAAATGAACACAAAACGATCAGCTTTAAAAAAGGACTCGTAACAAAAAAAAAAAAAATGAAAAAGAATGTTAACAACAAAACTTTTTCACACCCAACCCAGTTCTGCGGAATCAGAATCAACGTTGAGTTTAAAAAAGCGAATGAGCCAATTAATTAAAGTTGATGCAGATTTAAATTTTTCTGAAACTTAATGACGAATGCAGCTATAAATATTTTTTTTTTTAGCATGCTAGTTAACATTCGTGTCAGTCAGCTGTTGCTCTCACGCTGGCCAATAGAATCTTCCTGCCTAATTCACTTAAAGGCAATCAGCTATGAAGGCTCTTTCACTCTGGCCAGTAGAAAATGGCCGCAAACTACATGAAAACTGCCGTAGAAGCATGAAAAAAATCGATTATTTTTTTATCGATGGGAGTTGGGAAATGCAACGTCGGTCTTGGCCTTCCTGCTAAACTTGGAGCATGTGCATATAAATTAAGTGCAAATCCGTCGAAAATTGGATCTTTGCATTCACACACACACACACACACACACACACACACACACAACACACACACACACACACACACATCCATTTTTAGATAGAAATAATTTAATGAAAATGTCTAGAAAATAAAAAAAATATTTGTAATAATAAAAAGTTTAATCGATAGAAAAAAGATAATTTTATTTTCAGAATAAATTTTCAGATTTCATCACTCAGTTTTTCATTGGAACTGATTCCATTTGACAAATATATACAGGTTTGTTATCCGTTTGAAGAATTAAATTTTTTTGTTATGAACGGATATGGAATCATTAACATTTTTGAAACAATAATTAGAAAACAGTTACATTTTCAAAAATTGAGAAAATATCTATTTATCTATTATCTAGAAATATCTATCCTATTATTATATATCTATCCACTAAAAAATTGGATTTGACAAAAACAACTCAAGATTTACAGCAGATCATTCTGTGCAGAATGAAGATAGCTCCCAGTGGCAAGGAAAGTATCAGTTTGGTCTAAATCAAAATTATATATATATATATAAAAAAAAATAGTCTTATATATTGCTATATAAATGGTATAAAGATTCAATATCAGAGATATTAGTAGATATCAAGAAAAGTTTTTTAAAGTCAATATTTAATCTGACAATTTGTTAAATCTCTTGATATGGATGACATAATATATATATATATATAATCACATTCAATGATTTGTAAATACCTGAATTCAATTTCTCCAAGGATATCAAAGGGAAAATTCTGTTAATAACTAATCTAACTACCTAGGACGGAGAAAAATGATATATTTTGATATATATGTTTGTATATATATAAAGTCCTATAAATAAAAAAAAAATGACAAATAAATTTTTTTTTGTTTTTATAAATGCCTTTTAAATAAGAATATTTGTGTTAAATAAGATCAAATGATGAATATCGTGACAAAGGTGTTTGAGTTCATTGTTCGAATAGCCAATTTTGTTTCAGTGTTCAATGAAGAATATGGTATCGCTATGTTCAGTGTTCAAATATCTAAGAATTCAGATTATTTTGTTTTCAATGTTAAAAAGAAGAATATGAGACAAGTGTATAGTGTTCAAATATATATATATATATATAATATATATAGTATTCAAAGTTGATGAATAGAATACAAGTGTTCAATGTTCAAAATTGTGAATATAGACAAATGTTCATATGTTTATTTCATGTCAAACCAATTAACAAATTAAAGTCTAATGAAGTCCTAAATTCGAAACATCAAATAATGAATGTTTTTATAGGTCTTTGAATTTTACATTTCTTTAAATATATATATATATATATATATATATATATATATATATATATATATATATATATAGAATATT